ACATACACCTCAACTGTACGTACAGCTCAGCCTGCACTTGAACGAGCCACAATCTTCGTCATTTCAATTAGTTAGACATTTAAAATGATCCACTTAATTAAAATATGAAGTTTTATTTTAATTTAATTCATTTTGTCATTTATTTGGGGGCTAGAGACCCAGCAGACACAGAAAGCTGCAGATGCTGCAGCAGCAGCTGCAGCCGGCAACAATTGCTGCAGCAAGGAGCTCCTTTTAAAGGCAGCAGCAGCCACAAGGGGCCTTTAAAGATATATTTAAAGGCCTTTATTTATTTATTTTAAACATAAAGAAGTATTATAAAGTATTGTTTCTTCGTCTTATTTGCGTGTCTAGCTGCTGCTGTTGTTCTGCTGGCTGCAGCAGCAGAGCAGCAGCAGGGCCCCACGCTGCTGCGCCTGGGACCTTTTTGCTGCAGCGCGGCAGCAGCAGCTGCCGCGCTGCAGCAACAGGGTTGCTGTTGCTGCAGCAGCGGGATGTTTGACCTGCTGCTGCATGCGCGGGGGCAACTATGCTGCTGCTGGAGCAGCCAGCAGCAGCTGCTGCTGTCTACGAGCTGCTGCTGCTGCTCAGCAGCACAGAGCTGCCGCATCTGCTGCTACCCAGCGGGGCCCTCAGCTGGCAGCTGCTGCAAATTTGATTGAGTTTAGGTAGAATAGAGCAGCAGCAGCAGCAGCAACAGCAGCAGCAGCAGTGGCGCCTTTGTGCTCCCCACGTGCGGCTCTGTTTTGCTGCTGCTGCCTGTGGTGCTGTAGCAGCTTGCCGCTGCAGCATAAAGGCACCAGAAAAGGCAGCAGCAGCAGCAGCAGCAGTTTTGGGAGTTTAATTGTGGCTGGGGCACTTGAAAGCAGCATAAAGGCAGCAGCAGCAGCAGCAGCAGCTCAAAGACTTTGCGGCTCTTTGCGCATGGATCTATAGAGTACGCAGAGCCGCTGCAGCTTCCTATTTCACTGCCAGCTGCTGCCGAACTGCTGCTGCTGCTGCTGCTGTTCAAAAGCTGCTGCTGCTGCTGCTGCTGCAGCTCGCCGCTTCGCCCTTCACGTGAATGGGCCCTTTTATTGACTAGTAGGGATTATGAAATCTAAACCCTTAGCGCTGGGAGCAGCTGCTAAAACCCCAGGGTTTCCTTCAGTCTGGGGCCAGGGTTTAGGGTTTAGGGTTTAGGGTTTAGGGTTTAGGGTTTGCTGCGAGATGAGCCGCGCACTCGACTTTGCAGTTTGTTCTTTTGAAATGAAATGAATTTAAAATTTAAATTTGCGGAATTCAAAAATTGATTTTAAAAAGCAGCAAAGCAAACGGACTTGAGTTTGCTGCTGCTGCGCTGCTGTGTGCTGCGCTGCAGCAAGCAGCAGTGACTGCAGGTGCCTTCGTATTTACCGACTTCAAGGCTTTTTGGACGCTTTTAATCGCCAAGTGAATTAAAATAAATTAAAAACTAAAATATTTGAATAATTGAAAAAGAAACTCCGCGAGAAAGCAGCAGAAAACAGGCTTTTTCTCGTAAAGCCCCGTTTCTTGAAATTCAGCTTTCCCCCAACCGCTCCTCCTCCGAAAAAGGGGAAAGATCCATTTTAAGGCTTAAATTCGAAATATTAAAACTATTAAACCCAAAAATGTTAAATTTTACATTTAAAACTTTTACTTCTCCCAAAATTCGTATTGAAACGATAAATTTCCGTAAGAACGAAAGCCGCGAAGTTTCGTTTCAAGTTCGTGAATGCGAAACTTCTCAGGTGTCTGCAAGAAAACTCATTTCTTTTGCTTTCTAAATTAATTTAATTAATTAATTTATTCATTTATTTACTATTTAATTTAATTAATTTAACTAATTTAATCAATTTGAATCTTCCAGTGGATTCAATGCAGCCAAGAGCTTCTGCTCTTTCTGCCGAATTCAGAAACACAGCGAGCACTTGCTTCCGGGAAAGCAGGCATTAATTTGTTTTAATTTTTTAATTTTAATTTTAATTTTATTAAAAAAATAAAAATAAACAGAAAGTGTTTTTTCATTCTTTTGAAAAAGTCGCAGGTGCCCCGAAATAATTAAATTTGGAGGCCTTTAGCTGCTGCTGCTAGTCTTCGGCTGCTGCTGCTAGCCTTTTGCTGCTGCTGCTAGCATTGAGCTGCTGCTGCTAGCATTGAGCTGCTGCTGCTAGCCTTTAGCTATTGCTGCTAGCCTTCGGCTGTTGCTGTTGCTGCTAGCCTTTTGCTGCTGCTGCTGCTAATATTTAGCTGCTGCTGGTAAATTTTAGTTGCTGCTGCTAGATTCAAACTGCTGCTGCTAGATTCAAACAGCTGCTGCTAGCTTTTGGCTGCTGCCGCTAACTTTTAGCTGCTGCTGCTAGCCTTTTGCTGCTGCTGCTAACTTTTAGCTGCTGCTGTTGATCTGCTGCAGCACCTTGTGCTGGCACCAGCATCTCAGCCATAAACCCCGAGGCCCCAACCCTAAACCCTAAACCCTAAACCCTAAACCCTAGACCCTAGACCCTTAACCCTAAACCGTATCTCCCAAACCCTAAGTCCTAAGCCCTAACACACAATCCCCACCCCCTAAACCCTAAACCCGAGCCCCCAACCCCCAATCCCTAAACCCTAAACCCTAAACCCTAAACCCTAAACACTGGGGGTAAAAGACGAGGTCTCCTGCAGTAGCAAAAAGAACAGAAGGGCTTTGGTGTTTAAAGAAGAATGGAATCTTTTTAAATTAAAATATTTATTTGAAATTAAAAAAATAAGAAGTGTTTAATTGTTTGTGGGCAATAGGCTTTTCAGACTTTTGTCATTTAAAATTAATAAACCGACTTTGCATGCATGCACGCAATTTCAAGGGGGGCCCCCCAAGACTGCGGCCCCCAGAGTGGGCCCAAAAAGGGTACAGGGGCCCCCAGGGGGACCCCCTTGGGGGCCCCTCTAGGGGCCTTTGAGGGCCCCTTGGGGCCCCTGGGGGCCCCGAAAAGGGCCCCAGGGGGCCCCTGTTGGGGGCCCCCAGGGGCCTTCAAGGGCCAGGGGCCCCGGCCATATATCCTCAGGGGGCCCCCCCGGGGCCCCCGGGGGCCCCCCCGGGCCCCCGGGGGGGCCCCCTGAGCAGCAGCCTGGGTGGGCGATTCGCGATGAAAGAAAGGAATAATGGATGAATTTGAAGATTAAATTTAATGAATTTTATAAATTATATGAATTAAATGAATTAAATTCATATAAATGAAGAGTTGCTGCGAGATCTGCTGCTGCGTGTGGCGGCTTAGTGTGCGTGGGTGGCGGGCACCAGTGGCCTGCTGCCTGTGGGAATTGAGGAGAGCTTTTTGTTTCTTTGCTTTTAAATATTCGTTTTAGAAGAATTGAATTTGTTATTTGGAATTAAGTTTGTTTTAGATTTATTATTTAGGGTTTATTTCGCGTTTTCTGCGCAGCAGGAAGAGAGCAGCGGCGGCGGCGAGGCGCTGCTGCTGCGGCGCGAAGATCGCAGCGGCGCGGGGGCCCGCGGAAGCCGTTTCGACGCAGATTTGGCGCTAACTGGCTTTTTCTTTTTGCAAACGTCGAAATAAAACATTTAAATGAATTTAGAAGAAGAAAAAAAGGGAAGCGGGCGCAAGTTGGGCGCCGGAGGCGGCCGCGGCGGCGGCGGACCGCCGGCGGCGGCACTCGAGAATCCGTGCACGCCGCGAAGCCGGAAAAGCGCGCGTCGGCCCTCTAATTGAGCCAAATCTCTTTTTTAATTCGTTTTAAAAATAAAAAAACAAAAAATTTGAGTTTTTGGAGGCCCGGGACACTCAGAAAGGGGCGGAGGTCCTCAGACGGCGGCGGTGGTGCTCTGGGGGGCGGCGGCCGCCCAGGGGGCCGGCCAGCAGCCTCAGTCGGGGGTGAAACTGCGGCTTTTTTTTCTTTTTTTTCTTTTTTAAATCCCCTTTGGTTTATTTTAGAGTTTTTTGTTTTGTTGGCGAAGAACTAGCGGAAAAGGAGGCCCGCGCGGCGCAGCAGCAGCAGCAGCAGCTGTCCCACGCCGGCGAGTCGTCCTCGCTCCCGCCCAGCCGCGCCTTCCGCCCTTTCTCCCTCTTTTCTCACTTTTCTTTCTTTCTTTTGGGTTTTAAAAAGAAATATTTATCAAATTTGATGCATTTGGAGGGTCGAAGGGCGCAGAGTTCCGCGCGGCCGCGCGCTGCAGCCTCCGGAGGCCCCCCAGTCCGCAGTGTGTAGCAGCAGCAAGCTGCTGCTGCTGCTGCTGCTGCTGCTGCTGCTGCACATCTTTTCTTTCTTTTCTTTCCTTTTTTCTTTTTCTTTTCCTTATTTCCTTTTCAAACATGCAGCCCCAAAAGGGCCCCTCGCAGCAGCACAGCCTCGCGCCCCTCACAATCGACCACTGAGACTTGCTGCTGCTGCTGCTGCCGCTGCCGCTGCTGCTGCTGCTGCTGCTTGAGGCCCTGCAGCAGCTCGCCTTCTTTCTCGCCGCCTCTTCTTTCTGTCTGCTGCGGGCTGCTGCTCCAGCCTTTCCGTGTTTCACCGCTTCGCCGCCGCAAACCGCAAACCCTAAACCCTAAACCCTAGCGAGGGTTTAGGGTTTGCTTCCGAGGCCCAGAGGGCCCCAGCTGCCGGTGCTGCGGGAGAAACCCCGCAGCAGCAGCTTCAGGGGCCCCTAGTCCTTATAGAGAGCATGCGTGTCTTTGCTGCAGGGGCCAGCCAAGCCTTTGTTGCTGCTGCTGCAGCGCCCTTGCCTCTCTACTTGCTGCTGCCGGTGCCTGAGCAGCAGCAGCAGCAGCAGCAGCGGCAGCTGTCTGGGCAGTAGCGGCGGCTCCTCCGGGGCCATCGAGCTGCTGCTGGGGACTAAGGCATACGAGGAAGCTGCTGCTGCTGCATTCGGGAGGACGCTGCAGCAGCTGCTGCAGCGCCAGCAACAGCAGCAGCAGGTGCAGGTGCAGCAGCAGCGAGACAGCTGCAGCCGGCAGACACAGTTGGTGGTAGAGTTTGCTGCAGGTCGACGGACTGCCCCAATGCTGGAGCCACAGCAGCAGCAGCAACAGCAAGTGCAGCAGCTGCAGCAGCAGTTGCAGCAGCACCTGGAGGCCTCAGGCCTCTCGGAGTTGCTGCTCTCAGGATGGAGACCTGAGCAGCAAACTGCAGCAGCAGAAGGGGCCCCCCCGGAGGCCCCCAGCTGCCTGGGGCCCCAATATGGGTCTGGCAGCAGCAGCAGCATTTTGTCTGTGAAGCGCGGGGTCACAGCAGCAGCAGCAGCAGCAGCAGCAGCAGCAGCAGCAGCTTCGGGGGGAGCAGCTCCCCTCTTCACGCGCCTCGCAAGGGGAGACACGCGGGCTTTGCTTCGTGCTGCAGCAGCAGCAGATGCGCTTTCTTGTTTAGCTGCTCCCAAGCCT